AAGGTAGAGATAGATAGATTCTCATTAAGTGAAAGGATTGAGGGTGATTGGGGGTAGATGGGAAAGTGGAATTTGGAACTCAAACTGATCTTTATTGAATGGCAGAGCAGGTTCAAAAGCTTGATTGGCTTACTTCTGCTCCTAGTTTACATGTTAAGATAATTTTAAGATAATTTCATTACAGGAACAAAAACAGAAGTCACCGGAAAAGCTCAGCAGGTCTGGCAGCATCTGTGAAGAAAAATCAGTGTTACATTTTGGGTCTGGTGACCCTTCCTCAGAACTGGACCCAAAACATTAACTCTGATTTTTCTTCACAGATGCTGCCAGACCTGCTGAGCTTTTCTAGCGACTTCTGTTTTTGTTCCGATTTACAGCATCCGCAATTCTTTCAGTTTTTAATTTTACAACAGGTTTCGTATTGTTAATTGTAACAAAATCTCATTCTAAACTCTGAGTTGGCATTACTTCAATGTGTAGTATTTTGGTTTCCCCGATTTTGAATACGTAAGCACAGTTTTTGTTTTCAAATTTGCCTGTACTTGTCTGTAAGTGTGTTTAGATTTACCCAGCGAAGAACTTTACACAAAAATTTTGAATGTAATGTTTGCTGACTGGCAATCATTAATGTTTATGTGAATATAATCATTGATCAATAAAAAGGAATTCATAACTTCTATAAAAACTATATATCTCACAGAAAGCTGAAGCAGTACGTAGTAAAGATAATGGATTTCCTTGATACAAAGAATACATTCTATTTTCAATGCTAAAATTACTGGTGACAGATGCTTAGAGTTTACGCTATTTTAAACCATCAATTGTTGCACTGTTATTGCTCACCAGTATCTTTTATTCTCAGAAATGCATTCACCTGTCAGATGACAACAAATACAAACTCAGCATTCACTCTGCCACAAAGACTTCCATCTCCTTTTATACCATCTTGTTTACTGTACCTTACCTCTATCCCTCTGTTGCTGAAATCCCCATCAAACTCCATGACTGTTCCATTCAGCTGACCCTAAATTCTGATAGGCATAATCAATTTGAGGTCCAAAATCCTTCTCACCTGTGACCCCTTTTCTGCATCAAATAGAAAATTCTCTTTCTCATATTTGAATCCTTTAATGGACTCATCTTCTCTATTTCTGGTCACGTCTGTCAGCCCAGGAACTACCTCCTTCACGTACATCCCCACTTCAAACTCTTCAAGTTGATGAGTACAGCGCAGAAAGAGGCCATTTGGCCCATTGTGGCCTCACTAGTCAACAAAGATCTGACTACACTAATCCCATTTTCCTGGTTCGTAGCCCTTCAGGCAATGGCAAAACAAATGAATATCTGAAGGAATGCCAGAGAAACTCAGTAGGTCTGGCAGCATCTATGGAGAGAGAAACAGAGTTAACGTTTCGAGTTGGATGTGACTCTTCTTCAGAGCATCCTTCCTGTTGTGGGTGACCAGAAATGCAGTACTCCAGCTGCACCTAACTAGTGTTTTATACAGTTTCAGCAATAACTTCCTTGCGTTTGTATTCTATGCCTCGGTTAATAAAGTCAAGCATTCCATTTGTCTTATTAGCCATATTGTCCACCTGTCCTGCTACCTTTACAGATCTGTGGATATGCATACCAAGCTCTCTCTGATGTTCAGTACTCAAGTGTTGTCGATTAACATTCCTGCAAACAGCCCTGGTGTTTTTCATTATATAAACCAAAGTTGTTGCTGGTGTAGGCATAGTGTTTTGTTCCAGGGAGAGTCTATCATTAGGAATAATTCTTGTGGTCTTGTGAATTCTACATTCTTGTTAGTGGACAGCAACAGGCTTTATTGGACAGAACTATATACACAGCATGGTAAACAGAGGCCACTTTACTTGGGACCCGATGGACCCAGACTCCACTTGCATGCGATCTGACAGCACTATAACATAGTTACCTTTAAACATAGCCAGAGTAAAGATACAATTACCTTTGCACTACAGCACCCACGTTGTTTTTCTTTTTAAAGCACTCTTTATTACTGTTAACATTTAACCACAAACCCCTCTGCTAACCACACAGAGATCTCTTGTACTTGAGGGACTGATCTCCAACAGGGACTGTTCTCGGTTCTCTTATAGGATGTGTGGCATGTTTGTGTTCTCTTGTTTCCTTGGAGGGCTAACACATTGATGGGGTGAAATGACAATAACTGGTCTTTGGCCTATAACCCATATGAAGAACTGAACATACAAAGTAGTGAAGACAGTGACTGACGAGAGAGGACCCAGGACCTGGATGATCACAGCCCCTCTGCCTTGTTCATTGATTGATGGTTAAATGTAATAGACAAGAAGAATAATGGAGGACATTCTGAAGTTTACACTGGGGTTGAGGAGATAAAGAGTTCTCTATTACTTCTGGGAGAGGGATCTCTCTCTCTCTCTCTCTCTCTGTCACAGACAGGAACACCTCAAGTACTCCAGGAGAAAGTGAGAACTTATCATCATGGACAACAGAATAAATTGCCATAGCTGCTAAATAGAAAACTCTTCATAGAATCCCTACAGCGTGGAAGTAGGCCATTCTGCCCATCAAGTCTATACTGACCCTCTGAAGAGCATCCTACCCAAACCCACAGCCCACCTACCCTATCCCTGTAATCCTGCAGTTCCCATGGCTAATTCACCTAACCTGCACACCTTTGCACTGTGGGAGGAAACCGGAGTATCTGGAGGTAACCAACATAGACACAGGAAGAATGTGCAGACGCTAATTAGACAGTTGCCTGAGGAGGGAATCAAACCTGGGTCCCTGGCAGCTGTGAGACAGGAGTGCTAACCACTGAGTCCTTGTGTGGTACGCTGTATTACAGAGCTACTTGGAAGAGTAACTTCCTTCCACAGGTGATTGCTGCCATTGTAGCAAGATGCAGCACACTTCTGGGCTCTTACTCAGATTCTAAGCTCCACATTTTAGTGGAGGACAGTCTGAGGATGCCTTCTCTCAACTATGGCCTAGATCTGAAAGAAATGATCCATCTGCTACAGTATCAATTTAAAACTAGCTTCTTTCTGCCATTCCCTTTAATCCCTGTGCACCAAAATTCATCCTGGGGGTTAGTTTCTTGCTCTGGACTTTTCACATCCCCTAGGAAGAGGTCATCCTGCCTCTCTGCATCCCTGCATTCTGCTTTGGACTGTGTTTAATTTTCTGCGCTGTTTTTGCAGCCTTACCACAGTCTTTCTCTTTACACTCAACTCTCTATAAAACTGGCCAGATTGCGTTCCCGCCATTGGAGTTTCTCTGTGGTTTGAAACGCACCCTATCCCCTCACATGTCTGTCACAGCGTATTTCCTATGTACTCATTTCTTCCTCACTTCTGTAGGCACTTTCATTTCAGTACTACTTTACCGCAGCTAATTGATTTCTTCCTCTTGCTAGCTACGTGCTGCTGTAGAACTTAGCCCACTCTTTCTGCAGCTTCTGCACAGCCTTTCCTATTCTGCTGTTTAGTGCCTAAATACAGCTCAAAGTGTGTCATTGGTTGGCCCCTACTACCACTGAGCAGCACTTTGGATATTTTCGCACCTCTGGGTTTGGATCACTTGTGCCTTCCAATTACTAGCATCACCTTAGGCATGTATCTGGTTTCATGAGTCTAATCACTGTTGCCACCTTGTAGCAATATGAGATCTACATGCTCATAAGTGCATAGCAACAGACTTTATTAAACATAAAATTATGTTGGAAAGAGAGGACATTTCACTTGCAGCTTTACAGAACCAGGCTCTAGCCCCACTGATATCGCTATGACACAGCTCCATCTGCACATGCTCAGTGTCTATACCCACAGTAAGGATACAAAGCCCTTTACTCTACAAATCTTAATCTGTTCTATGCACAAATTCTCATAAGTTGGCCACATCCCAGATTTCTATCATGTTACACCAAGACCAATTGTCATGGAATGAACAATATGTTTTTTTGGGCCCCCAGTGGGGAATTACTCAAGCATCTATTCAATAGCTCAAAGATAGGAACATCTTTTGGTAAAGTGGATGGAGTGGGGAGGTAGAGGAAGGAGGAAATTGGAGTTGTACTTCTTTTGTTGAAGGGGAGGCAGCGGCATGGTATTACAATCACTGGTCAGACAGAGCCATACAGCATAGAAACAGGCCCTTCAGCCCACCATGTCTATGCCAACCAACAAACACTAAACTACACAAATCCTATTTACCTGTATTCCATCTAAAAAAGCCAGATGCCCAAGTTAATGTCCTGGGGACATGGGTTTAAATCTCACCATAGCAGCTATTACAATTTAAATTCAATTTTAAAAATACTTCCATTAACGAAGGAAATATGCCATCTTTATCAAGTCTAGCCTATATGTGTCTCCAGACTCACTCTTTGTTGACATGTCCTAGCATGCCTAGCAAGCCATAGTTGCCTCAAATTGCTGTGCATCATTCCAACGTGCCACTCCATCACAGTAGCAGGAAAAGCCACAGCCCAAAACCTATCCAGTTTATACCCACTAGCCTAGAACTGCTCGGGTAAAGACTGAGGGGTGATGTTTATTCATTCACAGGATGAGGGCGTCGCCGGCCAGGCAGCATTTATTGCCCATCCCTAATTGCCCTGAGGGCAGTTGAGAATCAACTACATTGTTGTGGGTCTGGAGTCACATGTAGACTAGGCCAGGTAATGATGGCAGTTTCCTTCCCTAAAGGACATTAGTGAACCAGATGGGTTTTTCCAACAATCAACAATGGATTCATGGCCATGGTCATGGTCATTATTAGATTCTTAATTCCAGATATTTATTGGATTCAAATTCGACCATCTGCCATGGCAGGATTCAAACCTGGGTCCCCAGAACATTATCTGGGTCTCTGGATTAACAGTCCGGCGATACTACCACTGGGCCATCACCTCCCCAAAATGCAGAAGAGGAAATTATACAGTGATGTTTAAAGGTTCTTAAAAGCACAACTAGCTGTCAGATAATTACCTGAACATAATAAATCCCTTTTTTCTGGGCATACATCATAAGGAAACAATAATCCAAGTTCTGTTTTGTTCGCCATCTGAAAAATAACACAGAAGTGTTTGTAAATGGATAAAAGGTAATTAGTTCAACATGACAAAAAAAAAGTAGGAAGAAGCTCTAGATGAGTTTTTTTTGCAATAATTTACTTTCTGTACACGGAAATTCATTGTGAAAGATAACACAGTGTGGAGCTGGAGGAACACAGCGTGGAGCTGGAGGAACACAGCAGGCCAGGCAGCATCAGAGGAGCAGGAAAGCTGATGTTTTGGGTCAGGACCCTTCTTCAGAAATGATAGTGAAAGGCTTTTTTTTAGAAAGGTCAGCACCTACATAAAGTAAGCGAGTAATCCCATCAACCTCAACAACTTCAGAAGACTGTTGTTTAGCAAGGACCGCAGTTTATTTTATCTTCTTTTAGTCAAGCCAAGAGCCATCTTGTTCATTTTTACTTAAATAAATCTTTGTTAAAGAAACTTCCTAGCCATTTGCAAACAGTCAAAATATTCTGAAATCACTTAAAAAAAAATCCAGGTATTGCTGCAAAAAGATACATTTTGCTGAGGCTTTTTGTCTTACATTCATCAGGACATTTAGCAAGAACGCCAACTGAAGGGGTCAACCAACAGCTACACTGCATCAGAGGTCAGTGCTGATTGGGTCACAAGTGGACTCTGATTGATAAAGGCGTTGTCATGGAGAATACACCCATTAGTGCTGATTGACAGTTAACCTTTCATAATGTTGTAACAGGACGGGTTGACTTCTCAATGTTGGAACATTGAGAGTGTCATTGTCTGGGAGAGTGTCATGTGGGACTGATCAACACACGACTCATGTCATTTCTTTCTGAGTGTTTTCAGAACCCCACAATATTAACACCATGTCATGCACGTGCTGTGTCTCACGGCTGGCTTTTTCTTAACAGTGATAGAGGTCAGGGTATGTGTGTGGTTACTCTAATATTAGTTTAGCTGAAGATACCATTCACACATTAACATGGATAATATGGCCCTTAATAAGCAACACAAAATGTGAAAAACAGCAAATTAACAAAGTCAGACATTTGCTAACTAATTTAAAAAAGGCAAAGTCGCTATTCTAGAAAGACATTTTCAGAATACTGTACTGAAACAATCAAAAATGAGTGTTTGATTTCCTTCCACCTCCCTTAACAAAGGATGGTAGTGAATATTAGCTTAAAATAATCTAAACCATGCACCCTGAATAGCTTATCATTAAACCTTAGTTATTAATTGTTAGTGACTTGTGAATTAACTCCAATTAAGCCATCTTATTGAACTATGCTAAGATCACCTTCAGTGGTCCTTCCTGCGTTTGTGGAAGCCATGTAGCTATGGCTGTAACTAGGAAGCAACCTAAGGTAGCATAACATAGGAGCAAATTACTGCAGGAGCTGGAATTACAAAAAAATGCTGGAGATCACAGCAGGTCAGGCAGCATTCATGGAGAGAGAGCAAGCTAATGACATAGACATAGACATGGAATCCCTACAGTGTGGAAACAGGCCCTTCAGCCCAACAAGTCTACACTGACCCATCCAGACCTATCCCCTTATAATCCACCTAAGCTGCACATCCCTGAACACTACGGGCAATTTAGCATGGCCAATCCACCTAGCCTGCACATTTTTGGACTGTGGGAGGAAACTGGAGCACCCAGAGAAAACCCACTAAGACACAGGGTGAATGTGCAAACTCCACACAGACAGTCACCTGAGGGTGGAATTGAACCCTTGTCCCTGGCGCTGTGAGGCAGCAGTGCTAACCACTGAGCCACCGTGCCACCAATGTTTCAAGGCTCGATGACTCTTCATAAAAGAGCTTCATCAAAGCCTATGGTGGCATATTAACAGTAGTAGCCAATGAAGAGGCTGAGGCCAATATTGATTTCATGGCGGCTATCACTATGTCTGTGTAGCCAGGAATAGAGTGCGTCAATAATGGGGGACTCTTGAGGAGAAGTACATTTTCATGCCAAAGCCCAGGAGACAATGGGTTGAGATGGGAGCCTGATGGAAGCTTACCAGGTCTTTTTTGATGGTGTCCCCTCTCCCCACACCATTGCAGGTCCTCCCAAAGTGGGCAAAATGACCAAAGAGAGCAATATTGCAGCAAGTCTGAGAGGCCAGAGACAACCTGATTGTCACCCACTTCCAGGAAGACGGATCTGGGTTCTGACATCGTTTGAGTGTTTGAATTTCCAAGTTGCTCAGCTGGCAGGCAGACCCCTCCTCAGTTCAAAGCAAATGTCTGACTTTGTTAATTTGCTGTTTTTCACATTTTGTGTTGCTTATTAAGGGCCATATTATCCATGTTAATGTGTGAATGGTATCTTCAGCTAAACTAATATTAGAGTAACCACACACATACCCTGACCTCTATCACTGTTAAGAAAAAGCCAGCCGTGAGACACAGCACGTGCATGACATGGTGTTAATATTGTGGGGTTCTGAAAACACTCAGAAAGAAATGACATGAGTCGTGTGTTGATCAGTCCCACATGACACCAGGTTGACATAAATTCTAAAAAAGCTCCCTTTGACCCTTCCTTCATCTGTGTCCTTACAATGCTTCAGAGTGCACAGAGACTGAAACATTGCCTTGATATGTTTGAACATTTACTGTGACAGCATTTAACCTGAGAGAGGGAGCTTTTCTCTCCCGATTTCTGCGCTAAGAGGGATGTGGAGAGGTGAACTTCCTATTGGACAACTCCCAACCTTGAATGTCACTGCACTTCTCCGAAAGGCTCATACAGAGGATCAATATTACCCTTTTGGGATCATCAGTAATTCTGTATTCTCATCCCTAAGCAGGGTGCAAGTGTCAAAGGATGCGTGCAGGCCCTGACATATTCCCCAGATCTTGCCTTTGGCATCAGTGTCCTCCACATTAATGTGCAATGCCTTGGCTACCATATTCAAAGATAAGATTTATGGACCCTGACATTCCTGAAGCTATCATCAAACATGTGGTTGCTTGAGAGAGATGAGTAATGCTTGGTGATTAAGACAACGCTTCTCATCTCATACATGGGTGTACACTAAACCTATGGCAAAAAGAATGTGATTGCAAACATTGTAACAGTGAAAGTGAGACTATATGGACAAACTGAATGGTTTATTTGCAACGATGTGGCACTTGTGCCACCTTTGTGCCCTCAGCAGGTTTCCTTCAGCCTTTGCCACCCACTCTGTCCAGGCATAAGCCCAGGATGGAGGGATCCTATTCTGTCATTGGGCCCTGTTGACTTGAAAGACTTGTGTAATCATCCTCTGGTGTCTTACAGCCCAGAGGGCAGAGACCCTGCTGGAAGTCTTCTGTCCAAATATAGATCCATCTTTTTCAGCTTGAACTGCTCCAGGCTTTGGGATCACAGACTGGGGGCAGGGGACCTCTGGAGTGCCTGGAGAAGCAGCTTCTGAGGTGCCCGGGTATTGTTCCTCCTCCTTCTAGCTGCCTCCTGGCACAATCCTATCTCCCAGAGAGGAAAGGGCACCAGGAGTGATGTCAAGGTCCCTCATTGTCCCCCTTGCCTTGCCATTGATGCTGGGGACCCATAGCTGCAGCAGTGGAATGCAGGTCTGAGTGTACATCTGGTAGCCATTGGGCATTCTGCTGGACCTGAGTCTCAAAGCTGGCTGCCACCCTTTCCATAGAGACAGCCAGGCATGACATGCTGGAGATACCACTGTAGTGAGATCATAGCAGTTGAGATGTGCAGGGAAATATTTAATTGTCACTGCAGATCCAATTATAGTAAATGTCTCATTTTCACATTGGAAATGTAAAAGTGTGGTGGTTAGAGCTCATTCTATCAAAGATGTGTTTCTTGTGACACTGACCAAGATGTTAGCAAGAGCTGTTCCTCAAGAGTATTCCATAGCAACACCATCTATTTGATTATATTTTATTTTCTAATCAATTTGTTCAGATTTGCTTTCACTCACCTCCTGAGCAGGTGAAACTTGAACCCAGGTCTCCTGGGGGAGAGGGGGCAGAAGTAGGGACACTGCATCTGCACTGCAGGAGCCCTCTATTTGGCATATTGATGTTTTTAAATCAAACTGTTCAGAGATGTCACCGCACACCTCTGAAGCAGGTGGGATTTGGACCCAAGCCTTTTGGTTCAGAGGCAGGGACGCTACCACTGTGTCACAAGAACCCTTTATGTGGCACCTACCCTGTTGCTAAAACTGAACTCAACTGTGTGAGTTGTTAAGTCAATTATCTAATCTAATGAAATAATTAAACCTGGTAATCTAACAATTTAATCTACATGATCTAATTAAACCAAAATCTTACTGAAAATCAGGCATTTGATTTAAGCAAATAGATGACGAAAGCAGAACCCTTGTGGTACAGTGTCCCTGACTCTGAGACAGGACGTCTGGGCTCAAGACCCACATTCTTTGGGTGTGTCAAAACATTGCTGAACAGATTGATTAGAAATTACCTTCAAGTCCCATTTGCCATACGGGTTGATTAAAAAAAAAATGAACAAAGCACAAAAGAACTTGAGATAATATTCAAGACTCAATCTATCTGATTTTTCTTTTTAAAACATTAGCTATTTTTTATTAATGGTCTTTTTCTTAATGAATAAAATTCATCATTCAACATTTTCGTCCATAACTGGACACTTTCACAATGGTGCCTCTGCTGTTGCTTCAAGCTTGCTTATAATCCTGGCAGGGTAGCTTTGAGAGGAATGGATGGCTTTTGGCTGGTATCTTTTTCTGTTTTCTGCACAAAGCCAAGTCGAGGTAATTGTAGTTCACCTTTTCCTTGTGAAAAATCTAGCAAACTTATCAGTGTTGCCAGGAGCTTAGATGACCTGATAGAAAGCCTGTGCCACAAGTTAATCAAACAATTTGCCCTGGAAGAAATCCAAAGCAGTTATCACCTTGAGCTCAACTTGACTCCCAACAGTTGGAGGCTTAGCTATTCCAACATAATACAAGCGCTCAATTCTGCAGTTTTTATCATCACGATGATGTTTTAATTCTAGTTGTGATTCAAATGAGACGTTCTAAACTGCAAAATTGTACCAAGCACATAAACTCCTATGTTTTTGGTGTTGAACATAAAAACAAAGTTTAACAGTAAAACAAAGCAATCTTTCTGTTTTAACTGATCAAAGTCATGCAACAAACTCTGGTATTTTAAAAGTGATTGCCTAAAATGCAATGACAGATTCTATATCTGTTTGAGCAATTTAATATCAGCCAAATGTAATTTCTGTAATTTTGAACAGAAGGTTTAACACATCTAGTTAATATTGTTAAGTAATTTTAGAAGATTCAAAACTGTTACAGTCCTCATGTCTTGAATTAAAATAATGCCAGGCTGTTATTCATATCAAACACAAAATGGAGAATACATGCTAAAACATTTTTCTCCTCCATGTATGCTTTACAGATACACCTAAAGAGAATGTAGCTGGTTTGCAATTTTCATAAATCTAGGAACATGAATTGTGTAAAAGAATCTCAAAACTGATTTTTGTGCATGCTTCATCCAGAACACCCAGATGGGTTTAATGTCCATTAATGGATTTAAATTGAAATTCAATAGCAATATCACATGATCTTACTCTCTCTTGCAGCCTTGTGGCAAGATGAAGTCACAAATAAGATGTCTTTTAAATAAAGTGGATGGTTTCCTTAGCTCAGCTGACTCTGTAAATGTAGTGTTACACTCAAGACCAAGAATATTATAACATATTGCTCACATTCCATAGCAGGGTTTACCTGACACGTTCTTTTGAATCTCCAAAGGTTTCCCTCAGGTTTGACAACTCTGGGTAGTAAGCGATAGGAGGTGAAATGACTTCTATTAACCCTGAATTGATTTCAGTGGAAAATCTGTCGACAAACCAAAACAATGTTTCTATACAAATAAAAGTACTTGTACAAAGACTTTTTATTGTTCATTGCTTTGGACACTAAAAAGATAAATCGAATTCACACTGATTTGGAAACAGTACACCTAATACAGAGTAGTCACTGAAATTTAAAGATAAGCCTTATTTGCCCCAGCCAAATATTCTTGATCTCGATGTTCCCAACCAGCAGCACATTAACTGTGATTTAAATGCTGGCTGGTGATCAATGTTTGCAATGTTAAAAAGAAACAAAGTATGAATATTTAAATTAAGTACTACCATAAATAAACAAGTTGAACTTACTGCCACCAGATGATCACTTTAGCAAAGTGTTGCATATGACAAGTTTTATGACTAAGCTATTTAAGCAAGGCCATAGTCTTTTTGTTCGTCATTTCAAATGAAATCCACCACATGATCTGTGCCCAGAATTTCCTGTCCTCCACTCCAAAGTACCATGTACCAGAAAGCACAATCAATTGAATTTACACATTGTGTATTGAAGCAACTTTTTCAAAATAAAATTTATCTTTGATGTTCACTGCATGTTCAACTGAACCGAGACACCTTTGAGGGTCCATTTTTAATAACAGAAGAAAGACACAGTGCTTTCGTAACCATTTAAGTAAACAGGCATAGATATTCAGATACGCATTGGCTAAATAATTTAGCTATTCTCTGTAGCATATTCGGACAAAACTGATTACAGGCTGAAATATATTTTCATGATACTGCTTTGAATCTAACTTAACTTACTCTTTCTCCAGGTTTTCCAGGACACTATGAACATGGTCTAGATCAGTCTGTTGAGAAAAAGAAAAGTAAAATCTATTGTGATTGAAATTCATTATTTATAAGATCGACCTGTTGCTTCTTTTATTCATTGCCTTGTGAGCTTCATTTTCAAGCTCTCTATACTAAAGGAAGGTAACTTGTTTCCCTTAGATAAACCACTCCTACAACTCTGCAAGAATGAAAACACCCAGCATGGTACACTGTAACTGGTCTATTGTTTAAAGGAAACAGAAAATTTATGTGTGAACCAGCTGTAGATCACTGTACCATTCCAAAATAAATTGAGATATAAATAAAGCATAGAATGGCAAACTGCGTATGACAAAAGTGTGGTATTTTTCCTGATGCAGGACTGAGATCATTTTTAAGGCTGTTCCATTCATCTAAAAGGAGAAGAGCATTCATAAAACTATAACACTTGCGCACTAAATCTCAAATGGCATTTGGAGTGCCTGGCAGCAAGTGCACTTCAAAGACAATTGCTTTATATGTTACAGAAAAGAATCAGAATCAGAGCATTTTAAATTCAAAAGGTAAGCTTTGTATTTTATAGAAAATTTATGCAATGGTAGAAAACATTCATCACATAACCATTGACAGCAACAAGCCGCAAAATTCATTCTAGGTACAATTTTCTTTCTATCACATTACAAGCTAATGTTAGAAATCACTTTCCTGCCTGGCGTAAAGATCTTTCTCTGTGGCAGATATAGTGGCGGCCAGTAACCGTATTAAAAATAGCTTCACACAGTGTACGAAACACATCTCAGTGGCTGTCTGAAACCTGCAAAAATTACTGGTTTCAAAGGGCATTAATAAACTGCTTAAGGCCTTACTCTTATGGTTCAGGAAGTCTACCTGAATTCCTGAACAGAATTACATTTTTCATGCCTTGTAGTTTGCAGCTCCGTATTCCAAAAGTTTCTCATTCATGCGAACTGCCTCCTCTCCCTTTACAATTAGCATTCTGCATCTTTTTGCCAGCTAACTATCTCCACCTGTATATTATCATCCTTTTTCAAACGGTGCACTTTGATCTGCCAGAGTCTTACTGATCACCTTTTCTTCAGCCTGGCGTTGTCACCGGTTGCTACGGCTTCCAGCTGTTTCTCCAGCTCCCTCCTTACTTCTTGTCACTCACCCAGTTTCTCGGTCTCTCTTTGTAATTCCATCAATAAACCTATTATATTTATCATGCGCTGCCTTTCCTAAAATTTCCTCTCTTGCAAAAATTGCTGCAAACTCAGCTAGGTGGTTAGGCATCACAGCAGAGACAGAGCGAATCTCCAGGGAGAGGATCAGCTCCAGTCCTTTGGTCTGGTGGATGAATTGAGCAGGAAGTGATGTGCAGTGCAGCAGTGTAGTTTGAACAGGGATAAAAAATGGACCTATGGATAGGGAGAGAACAACATGGAAACTGAAACAAGGTTTGTGTCTTGTCATCTCAGAGTCAGGATTAGCAAAGCCCTGGATAGTGAAGTCAGGGAAGGCTGAGCTGAAGAAACAACATATTTCTCAATTAAGGTGGTTGCTAATCTGGTGATTAGAACTCTTCAAAACACCCAGTGGATTTAATTAATGCCAAATTCTCTATATTAGGCTGCAAGAGAACAGATTTGGGGCATACATAGATTTAGCAGGAAAGTTGGATTGGGTGGAAATGGTGAGAAATGATGTTTAACATCATTTTAAAACCTTAAGTAAAATACAAAGCAGGACATTTTTGCATTGCATTGACTTGGTATGGTTGATCAGCAGCCCATATTGCAGGATTCCCACACTTCCTGAGAGTTTAAGCTGAATTCACTAAATTGAAGTGGGAGCAAAAAATTTCTCCAGCACCAAGAAGTATCAGGATGTGGGATTATGATCTGAGGAAGTGTAGATCATTAAAATTAGAAAGTAATTCCGTTCTTTGATGTGTAGATAGGATAAGTTGCAAATCTGGGCAAGAAGCCTCTCTGCTCCTATGATGCTGCTTGGCCTGCTGTGTTCATCCAGCCCTGCACCTTGTTGTCTGGGCAAGAGAACTAGCAGGTTGTCTCCCTGGACCAAGGGGAGCTCAATTAATGGACTGATGATCTGAAGGGATGCAGGGAGATGAGGTAAAGCAAAACCATTTGACATTATAACCCACAACGGAACCAACAGCATTGAAGCTTGGAAGCAATATAAGAGAAAGGCTGCTTTAAACTTCTTTAAACACTTTCAATACTATCTAATTAAATATGTTATATTTCTTGTCATCCAATTTAGATGGTAACTACTAGAAGTTTGCACCTAGGTGCAACATTTTGCTTGCGGAAGAGAGGAAATATTAAGATAGTAGAATTTGAATTCTTCCAAATTTCCCTTTTTTCTCAACTATACATCTGGGACAACTCGGAACAAAGAGTCTGTAGGATAATGAACCTCAAAAATCTCATTCCTTTACAGACTAACTGAAATAAACCTTCATAGAATCCCTTCTGTGAGGAACAGGCCATTTGACCCACGAAGTCCACACCAACTCTCCGAACAGCATCCCACCCGGACCCAGCCTATCCCTGTAACCCTGCATTTTCCCCATGGCCAATCCACCTAACCTGCACATCTTTGGACTGCAGGAGGAAACCGGAGCACCTGGAGGAAACCCACACAGAGACGAGGAGAATGTGCAAACTGCACACAGACAGTCAGTTGAGGGTCGAATCGAACCCGGGTCCCTGGCACTGTGAGGCAGCAGTGTTAACCACTGAGCCACCGTGCTGCCCACGTGATGATGTTGACGTACTTCCCAGGATGTAGAGCTCACTGTTGGTAAATAGGGTATGTATTTATTGCATTCAATAATTCTAAAAAGTGACTGGGGCAAGTCAAGAACATTTGAGGATTAGATATGGATACTGCATAAAGTGGAAACAAAAATAGAGAACTGGTTTTATTTCAGTGATATCTATCACAAAGAAACACAATTGGAAACATTCACATTTATAAGAAGTTTCATGAAAACAGAGAGCCAAATGTAACAATTAACCAAACAGGCAGTATTCTTACCTCTCCTATGAACACCACTATAACACAATCTAGTTTCTCTTCAGGAGACAGCTTATCTATTAATGAGTGAAGTGTTTCTGCAAGATAGGACTTAACTTTTCTCTTCACAGTTGGAATCCCCAAAACTAAGGACACTAGAAGCAAAAGAATTGACAGACAATTAGACAAAAATGGTCACCCTAAGTTGAACCACATTGCAAAAGGCAATTTAATGCAGGAAAAAAAAACATTGAAACAGAGAATAAAGTTGAATTCTCATTGCCAATCCTACCAAGAGCTCATTTGTTTGGCAATGCTCTTGAGCCTTCTTTCACTATAAAGAGGAAATTAATAGAAGTTTAAAGGTAATGACCATAAACACTCAATCAAAAGAAAATGATTGCCAGAATAATTGATCTGCAATAAATACTGTTAAGTACATCAAGCAAAATGTGACTGGATGTTGGATGGGGTTATAAGTGTAACCTATTTTAACAATTCACAGTTGCTTAATAATAGTCTAAAATGCAGTGAAAAATGCAGCATTTATTAAGGTCTAACCTCCCACATCAGCAATATCCCAGACCAACCCACAGTCCAGAGTTCAAAGCAGTGTGACAACAGTCACTGAACATAAGCTTTTAGCGCTGTTGTACCATGTCAGCAGCCAGTCAAGCAAATCAGGATGTGGCTGTGAAAAATAAAAAAAAACCCAGTGTAACCTTGAAATATTTACTGTCACCAGCTTGTTAGATTGTTGTAGTTTGGAAACAGGCCATTCAAGTTTGAGCCAATGTTTTTCTTCTTGTGTCACCTTGTCATCACCTGCTATTCTGTTTGTTCCCAGCCATCTGAAGGTTGGCCCGTTCATTGACACTTCCGCAGCATGCTCCTCCATTCAGAATTCCGCTGCTATTGCCACAGTCCCATGGTGGCTTATTGTCTGCACGTTATTCAGGTCCTGCTGCAGGCCAGCAAGTGTTGTGTAATTATGTTCCTGTCCATGAAAAAACCCAGGGCATTTCCCTATTGCTTTGAGCAGCAGCACTATCACCCCACAATGAATATCTTGGGGCGTAGCCATTGAGCAGAAATTTAAATGAATTAGTTACTGATGCCGTGGTTATGGAGAATGCAGAAGCTGGGTGATCAGTGCAAAACAACCATCCCTCAAAGTTGCTCCATCATTACATGGTTCTAGTCAGGTTTATGGTACAATACCTGCTACTTCTCTGTGTCAGCTTCAGCAATATTAAGGAAGACTGAAACCTGCTCTACCTTGAGTTTTCACTTGAAAGGCGCCTGTGACCAGTTTAATATTCACCGCCTCCATTGCTGGTGCTCTGTGACAGAGGTACATATGACCTACACAGTGCACTCGACTGAGATCTTTCTTGTTAATTTGTGAAATGTAGTTAGTGCCGGCAAGGCTAGGATTTGTTTCCCGTACCTAATTTCTCTTCAAAAGGCAGTGGTGTGCAACCCCTTCTTGAATCACAGCAGTCCATGTGGTGCATCTACTGAGCTGTTAGGGAGGGAATTACAGAGTGTTGACCTAGTGACTGTGAAGGATATAATTCTAAAGTCAGGATAGTATGTGACCTGGAGGATAACTTGCAGCTGACATTTCTGTGCAAGTGTTGCTTTTGTTTTTCTAGGTGGTATGAATCAAGGGTTTGGGAAGTGGCGTCAAGATGGCTTGGGGAGTTGCTGCAATACAACATGTAGATGGTACACGTTGCTGCTACTCTACACCATTAGTGAAGGGAGTGAATGTTTAAGGTGGTGGAGGTGTTTTGTCTGGATAGTTTCAAGCTTCTTGTGTGTTACTGGAGTTGCACTCATTTGGGCAAGAGGGGAGTATTCCACAAGGCAATTGGTTTTGTTGCTTTTAGATGGTGAACAGGTTCTGGAGTCAGGAGGCGTGTTACTCTCTTCTGAATTCTCAGCCACAGTACTTGTAGTAGGTCCAGTTAAGATTCTAGTCAATGGATGTTGGTGGTGGGTGATTCAAAGTTTGAATAGCCAGGAGAACTGCTTACATTCTCTCTTGTTGGAGATAGCTATTGCCTGATATTTATGTGGCAACAATTTAACTAGCCACTTATCAGCCCAAGTCTGAATGCAGTTACTGTACACAGGTTTGGACTGTATTTGGGGAGTTTTGAATGGTGCTGACCACTGTACAATCATCAATAAACATCTCTACTTTTGAATTTCAGAATGAAAGGAAGGTCCTTAATAAATTAGAGATAACAAGGTGT